CCCTGTGGGTGCCCCGGCGCACACGGCAGGGCCGCACGGTGGCCAGCACCACCAGGTAGCGGTCTACACTCATGGCAGCCAGGAAGTAGGTGCTGGAGAAGATGTTGTAGTGGTCGATGGCCAGCACCAGTTTGCAGACCAGCTCCCCGAACGGCCAGCGCTGCAGCAGGTGCTCGGCCACGTTGACCGGGAGCACCAACGTGGACAGCCCGTCGGCGATGGCCAAGTTCAGGATGAACACGTTGGTCACCGTTTTCATCTTGGGCGCCCTCAGGATCACACAGATGACAGCCGTGTTTCCGGCCAGCCCCACGGCACAGATGACGGAGTACACCACGGGCAGGGCCACATAGAGGGCTGACAGCAGCTCGGGGGAGGTGGTGTTGGTGCCGTTGTGTGGGGAGAAGTTGGCACTCATGGTGGCAGGGAAGGAGGACCCTCCATTATCAAGGGACTCTGGGCTCCCTGTGGCCTGCATCGTGTGGCGGGGCCACTGGTGGTTTGTGCCCTGGGCAGATGGGGATGTCGTGCGGGGCACTCCTTGTGCTGAATTCTGGGAGAGACGTGACCTGGACCTGTGGGGTGTGGCTGTCAGAGCGGCCGCTGCTCCAGATTTTCTGGCAGAGGCTGTGGCTACCTTGCTAGATCAGGGACCGGGGGTCACTCCACCTTTCTGGTCCTCGGGTCGGGGAGCCTGATGGGTTCCTGGGGCCCTTGCCCTCCCTCCTCCTGGATGGCACTTTTGTACTGTTAGTCCCCTCCCCAGAACCCTCCTCCTGCAGAGAGCATCTGCTGACCACCCTTCTGGGAAGAGGAGACCTGAGCCTCCCAGCCCAGCACCCCCTGGTCACCCCAGTACGTAGTTGAAGTGGAACCCAGCAGTCCTCTGTCAAACATGCCTATCAGGTGCACCTCTGGACCTTTGAATCTGAAGCACCTTCCGCCAGGCGTCCCATGGCCCTCACCTACCCTGGTAACACTCAGTCCCTCTGCTTGCCAACCTGTTTTTCTATCCACTGACCTGGGAGAGGGTCCGGTGCCTGGTGGCTGGAAGCTGGTGGCTTCGGTGGGCTCTCTGGCAGCTGACAGAAGCAGGGATCGGAGGGCAGCTCTCCCTGACAGATCCCCCCTTGATAGCTGATGGGAGTGCGTCCAGGACATGCCCCTCTGGCCGCCTCCGTCCCAGCTGGCTTCCCGGAGAGGTTCCCAGCCAGGTGGCAGTGCTGATGCGAGGGAGGGAGGGAGGGAGGGAGGCGGGCCCCATGCTCTGACGTGGAGCCTCTGAGGCAGGGGGCCCTCAGGAAGCTCCGCCTGCAGGCAGCTGTCCCAGGGTCTTAGCACTCAGTCACCCAGAGTGGCTCCCCAGTGCGTCTGTGTGTGTGCGTGTCTGTGCACGTGTGTGTCTGCATGTCTGTGTGTGTGCGTGTCTGGGTGTGTGAGTGTCTGCGTCTGTGTGTGTGTCTGTGCACGTGTGTGTCTGCGTGTCTGTGTATGTGTGTGTCTGGGTGTGTGAGTGTCTCTCTGTGTGTGTGTCTGTGTGCGTGTGTGTCTGAGTGTCTGTGTGCGTGCGTTTCTGTGCATGTGTGTCTCTGTGTGTGCATGTCTGTGCACACGTGTGTCTCTATGTACATGTCTGCATGTGTCTGTGCACGCACATGTGTGTGTCTTTGTGCGTGTGTGTCTGTGAACGTGTGTGTCTGTGTGTCTGTGTGCGTGTGTTTCTGTGCGTGCGTGTCTGTGTGCGTGCATGTGTGTCTGTGCGTGTCTGTGTGCGTGCATGTCTGTGCACACGTGTGTCTGTGTGTCTTCATGTGTGTCTCTGTGCACACATGTGTGTCTGTGTGCATGTGTGTCTGTGCACGTGTGTGTCTGCGTGTCTGTGTGTGCATGTCTCTGTGTGTGTCTGTGCACACGTGTGTCTGTGTGTGCGTGTCTGCATGTGTGTGTCTGTGTGCTGAGAGAGGCCCCAGTGGGCACCGAGGGCCATGAGTCACTATGAACCTGGGCACATTTTGCTGTGTACACGGGTGTCTCGGTGGTCTTGTGTCTGACCCGTGTGTGCATGTACGCGTGTGTGGAGGCCTGTCCTCTCTGTATGTGGGTGAACTTGGCACTGCTTCTGAAGGTTCTGTCCCCTTGGCAGAGTGTGTGGGGACCGAAGGGGTCTACGTCCCCCTGTGGAAGCAGAGCTCGCTGGCTGCAGGCAACACAACTTCTCTGCCGTCTTCCTGAAGAGGTGCGCAGTGTGCCCGGGCGTGCCGAGTCTGGGCAGGGTGGTCCGCTCTGGCCCCTTCCCTGAGCCACTGCTGTGTGTGGGCATTCTCAGCCGAGTCTGTGAAGCGCTGCGAGCTGGCCCCCCGGGGCTCTGTCACCCGTCTCCACATGTTCCCTCTTCAACTTTCAGTTCTCGGTCGCAGGCACCGGGCAGCTTCTGGCCAAGCTTTTGCAAGTAGCGCTGCAGTTATTGCAGGAGCTGGTCCATCCTGGGGGCCGTTCTCCCGTATGACTTGCTGGGTCGGGGCCTGTGATTTCAGCCTGGGGAGATGGGGCTGCCCCAGGAGGTCTGCGTGGAGTCATCACGCCCCATGCCCGGAGAGCTGCTCCATGAGATCTCACCGTGATGGACGCTCTGCTTCCGTGTGGCCTCTGCCTTGCCACCACTGTGCCCACAGATGGGCATGCAGCGAGGTGCTTTGGCGAGATTTCTGCAGTGAGCCACGCCACCCTTCAGCTCAAGCCTGGGCTGGCAGTAGGATCTGCAGGTGCGCCTTGGAGGGGGCGTGCCTATGGGAATGGCAGCTGTTCACATAGGTGTAGACTGAGACCCCTGAGGTCAGGGGACGGAGGTCGGTAGCCATGAGGAGAGGCTGCAGTGGGGCGAGAATTGTAATTTGAGAGTCCTTGTGAGGGTGGAGTCAGTCCACCATGCTGGACACCAGAGACTTGGCAAAGAAAGGGTCAGGCCTAACCTGTGGTGACCTGTGTGTTCCTGGCTCTGTCAGGGGTGAGGGCAGGTGGTCACTGACCTGGGTCGAGGAGAGAGTGGCTGACCGCAGCCTCAGTGCCTGGGCACTTGGGGAGTGGCCCAGGCCTGGGCGCTGTCCTGGGGTTTGGCCTGACCACCTCGGCCTGATTCAGAGCCTCCCTGGGGTGCACTGGGCCCCTCAGGCCCTGTGCATCTTGGGGGAAGCCCGGGGAGCGCTTATGCCCACAGCGAGGAGCCTGGTGATGTGGCCCTGAGCGCCAGGCATGGGGGGTCCGTTGTACATGCTTGCTCTCTGCCCACTCTGCATGACACCCAAGCCCTGCCACATTGTCAGGAGCTGCTGGTGGCCGGTGGGGGGGATAGCTGAGATTATCCCTGGGAGCACAGAGCCCTCCTGCTGGGGTTTCCCACCATACCCCTGCCTCGCTCTGAAGAAAACTGAGTTTGGGGTACCCCTTCCACACTGCCAAGTCTGGCTGAGTGTAGAACTGATGTGTCTCTGGTCTGCTGAGCCTGCCCTGGGCTGGTCCTCACTCAATCTGTCACATCCCAAGTGTGATGGTAGGCAGACTGGGAAAGCTGGGGAGGGGGTCATTAGAAGGGTGGGCCCTGGGAGGGGCTGGAGGGGGAGGGAGAGGCTGCTGCAGGGTGGGCCTGGGGAAGATGGAGGAGCCTGTGGGTGCTAAGTTCGTGGGTGCATGGAGCAGAATGTGCTCAGGGCACAGGGGTGGTAGCGGTGCTGGTCACCCTGGCATGAGGCTGCAGTTGCAGGCACCCATGCACCCCCAGAAGCGCCTTGTCTGTGCCCTGTGGAACCTGACGGCAGAATGGGGGCCCTGGCCATCTGTGCCGGGAGGCGCATGTTCTGCCTGTGGGCTGGGCGTTGTCCTAGCCAACTGAGAGGGTCCTTCTGTGGACGTGATTCCCATTTTCAGAGGTGAATTGGTCTTTTCGAATCAACCTGAGGCACTTTTGGGTGGAGAGGGGCAGTCAGGTGAAGGGTGAGAGGGACCCTGCTGGTGTTCTCTGCCAGGTCCTCTCCCCAGCCAGGGCCGCACTGACAGCAACTGGGTGTGAGTCAGCTTCTGAGTATAGTGTGGGGTAGTTTCTCATGGGGGTCCCACAGGGAAGTGGAGGTACCCGTCCTCCCAGAGTGGGAGAGGGGTGGTGCCCATCACGGGTCGTGTGTGAGGGAGTGCCAGGATCCTCAGCCTAGACCACAGCAAGCCCAGCTGGCTGTGGTCTTTTTTTAAATAATTGAATTATTTTATTGAACTTTATTTATTTATTTATTTGTTTTAATTTGACCAGAGAGAGAGAGAGAGAGACAGAGCGAGGAAGAGAAAGAAAGTGAGAAAATAAGCCTCCAGACCCAGGACTCGAACTGCAGTCGGCCATGTGGGAGTCCAGTGCCCTTAACCACCATGCCACCTGCTGGCACCCCCAGTTGGTTGTGTTTGTATGGGCACTTCACGTGCATGGCAGCTGCCTCCCATCCAAGTGCACCCTGTGTCGTGGGTCTTGACACATGTGCACATACAGAATAGTCAGGCCACATGTGTCCACTGGGTAATGGCTCCACCAGGCGGCCCTGGTGGGCGGTGACCCTGGCCTGGGCTAAGTGCCCTGCCAGCACACAGGGTCTACGACCAGCAGGAGGGCCCTCTGCCGGCAAGCACCAGCAACTGGGAGGCTTCTCACTCTGGCACAAGAGCGATGACTCAGGACACCCCTGGGTCAGGACCTGCGCTCACACCTTCCTCCAGGGAAGCAGAGCACACTCCTTGTGAAGCCGGAGGGAGCCAGGTCCCCCGCCATGCCATCTTTCCTCTGCCACCCTTGATTAAGCTGTCCCATGAGGAAGTCCTGACCCCCTAACCTCCTGTGTTCCTGTAGGGGCCTCTCCTCAGCCACCTCCAGAATATTCTGCCCTTCGGTCCGAGACTGACCTGGTCCACAGACATCTGCCCAGGAACGCTGGGAGAGGCAGGAAGCTCTGCACACAGGGCCCGTGTGGGAGAACCACGCCTGTGGGAACCTGGGAAAGTGGCTGCAGCCAGAAGAAGCCCAGCCTCCCTGCATCGCCACAGCTACCCTCCACAGGGGAGTCTGGGCCAAAACTGAAGGCCGTCTTGTCAAGTGTGCTGGACTACGGGGCCGGAGCCACACGGCTGACAGGGGTTGGGTCCTTGGTTTGGCCTGGACATGCACTGGTCAGCATGCCCAGGGTCCCGAGCAGCTGGAGGGCTGGGGAAAGAGGGCTGGCATGAGACCCTGCCTAGGCTCCTCTCGCAGGCCGCCTCTCTCTGTCTCTATCATAAACAAGCAAGAAGGACGTTGTGGGAGACTATACAATGAGAGGGGGGTCAGGCGAGGGCGAGTCCAAGAGACAGGCCACAGGTCTGCACTGAGCTGGGGCAGGGGCAGAGCAGGAGCTGCCTTGGGGGCTTTGGCAGGAGGGCATGGGGGTTTCAGGGTGGCACAAGATGGGTACTAAGGCCTCCCTTGTGTCTGTGCCTCTTCTGGTGAAGGAGAGGGCTTGGTTGGTAGTGGGACCACTTGTGC